TTTAAGGGGCGGAGCTTGTGCATCGGGGGCGGGCCTCGTTTGAGGATCGGCGTAGGATACGCCAGGGCGACGTCGGGGCGGGTCTAGTTTGAGGAACGGCGCGGGATTGGCCAGGGGACGGCCGGGTCGGTGGCGGGATTCCTGTCAGCTTTTGTTTGATGCCTAAACAGTAGACACTGGTTATAGTTCCTCATTTACTTCTCCGAAGTTAAGGGGCAGTCCGCTTTTTCCTAGCTCCTTTTTCCTTTTAGAGACAGGGTCTCGCTCTGTCACCCAGACTGGAGTGCTGTGGTAGTCTCGGCTCACTGCAGCCTCCGCCTTCCGGGCTCAGGCGATCCTCCTTTCTCTGCCTCCCGGGTAGCTGGGACGGCAGGCGCGCGCCTCCGCGCTCCGCTTTTTGGTTTTGGGTAGGAACGGGGTTTCGCTCTGTTGCCTCGGCTGGTCTAGCTCCTCGCTGTGGCGGTCCCCGCCTTCCGGAAGTAAAGGCGTGTGGGGGCTGCGCTCCGAGGGCCGCGTGCGGCTGCCGAGCGCCCCCGGGCGGGGGTGTGTGGAAAATGTTCTTGCACAGCGAGGCCGTCTGACTTGGGGTCCCCAGGCCGCGCGGTGCACCCGCGTCGTCCCTTCTCCGGGGTTCTGCTCACCAGAGGCGGCTCTCCCCTGCCCGGCGGGTGCAGAACCGACGCGTCCTGTGGCGTGGGCTTCACCCTGGACTATGTTCTCCTCGCGGCTCGGTCGGCGCCGCCTCCCGTGTGAGGAGCTGACGCCTGGAACCCTGCAAACCCATCCCGCGTGACCCCCGCGTCGCAGCTGCCCGCACCCCCTCGGAGGCAGCGCACTCCTCCCTGGCCACGGGTGGCCGAAGCCCCACCAGCCTCCAGGTCAGATGTCCTTTCTCCTTCTCCTGCCGCGGGGTTCCCCGCCGTGGGGGGCGGGATCCAGCGTTCTCGGCTCTTCCTTGCCACTTCGCCGGCATAATGGAGAATTCCTTCTGCTTTAGGGAAATGACTTGAAAGTTGCTCAGTTGGAGTCACGTGTGACTAAACACACGTTTGGTTTATCCCAGAAATAGATGAAATTCTCAGAGAGGAGGATTCTTTTCAATCTCATAGATCGTGGGGATTTCTAAAGATTTTCCTGTGTTCAGACTTCACACTACCCTAGGGTCGCATCACCATCGTGGACAGATACAGAACCTCGGGCAGGTTGTGGAGCGGGGCTGTCCCCCGGGCCGCATGCCGGTTCCTCAGAGGCTGCTGGGCAGGACTCTGCTGCTTCAACAAACTTGCCTGGCTAACACCACCCGCTCACCCTTGAATGCCTTCCTGGGCGAAGCCATGAACCCTCCAGGGTTAAGCCCCAATTTTGGGGCTCACCTGCCCTGCGTCAGATGGATACTTAACTTGTAAAGAAACTGGTAGCTGTCCAAAGTGCTAGGAAAAAGGAAAATTCATTAAACAAAATCATTGTCATAATTTTCCTCTAATCGGTCTTGAGGTTTCTTCTGGAGAGTGGCTGTAAACTTTGGCCCTGCCCTGACGGGGCTCTGGGGCCGGTGGGCGTGGGGTTAGTGTGCCCTCGTGGGATGCCTCCTGACCCTGGCTGATGGCCTCAGGCCTGCGTATCCAGCCGTGCTGGCATTCCTCTCACCAGCAGCTTGCTTCTAGGCCTTGGCAGGCAGCCTGTGGCTTTTGTCTGAGCCGTGATCAGTTCATTGCTATCATGATGGCCTCTCTGGGAGATCCCTGACCAGGAGGAGAGTGAGGTTTGGGTGCGAGGGTCAGGTGAGAGCTGGAGGAGGCAGCGCAGCAGAACACATGAAACCGCAGAGCGGGTGTGTGACTCACGGGGCTGGAGAGAGGAGGCAGCGTTCCTCACAGGCCAGCGGGAAGGGGGAGCCTTGGGGAACAGGCAGGCCCAGCCAGAGGATGGGGAGCGAGCCAGCGGCCTGTGCACCAAATCTGTACTGGGGTCCAGGGTGTTACCCAAGCGCATTTCCTGTGGGGTGTGGTTTCGAACTGGCAGGCGTCAGCTTCATGGTATCTTGCTGTGACTGGGTGGTGGTCACTGTGGCATGTCTGCACAGTCCGTGAGGGGTGTGGGGGTCGGGGGCCGAGTCCAGTAGGTTGTATCCATGTGTCCTATAGGGAGCTGGTCACCAGCAAGCAGGTGTATAAAGCAGAGATCTGGGTGGACCACCCTGGGGAACTGGGAGGAGGTGAGGAGCTAGAAACTGTGTCAAGAATGACTGAGCTAGGCCGGGCGCGGTGGATCAAGCCTGTAATCCCAGCACTTTGGGAGGTCGAGATGGG